AATCATTCCATCAATCTGCAGGCTTTTAGAAGTTAGCTGATTTTAGCAGTTTGACAGGGAACTCTATTACTCAAGCAACACTCACATTGGAATCAAGGAGTGTTTTACTTGAGTAAAAGATTTAGGAGCAATGTAAGATGCCTTATTCAAGTTACTTCGTAATTACAGATTGCAATGACTTAAAAAATAGTGAATTTTGCTTTCAAAACATACTTATTTTATTCAGTATAACTTGCACTTATTAAAAAAGTGTGTTTTATAGTCCAAATTCATGCTTCTCGTGTATAAGACTTATTGATCATTGATTCAAATAGGAAATAAAACACCTTGATCTTCCAGTCATTTGTCTTAGGAAGATTCCAAAGCAATCGAGTCACATTTACTGTATTTCAGTCTTAAATTTGATATTATGCTGAGGAAAAAAATCATATAAATGAATGTTCAAATATGTTGAGATCATGTCGCATTTTAGTTTTTAACAGTCTGAACACTTTCAGCAGTTCCTACCCCGTGTTCCCGGCTCAGAAAGCTATATTAAAGCACACTTGGAAAGATTTATACAGTGCTTTGCTTCTCAGCTGAGTCTGGTGCAAGAAGTTACTACTGCATGTTTTGGTTAGGAATCGTGAAGTGTTCTTAGGGGTGATCAAAGGGAGGAGGTGGCCACCCCACCCGTGCAGTGTGCCATGTACGTATAACCCTCGTGCAGAATGGGGCAGGCCAGGATGGCTTCGTGCCCCCGGAGCTCTGTGGAGACGTTTTCACCTTTGCCGTTGATATTTTCTGAACGGTTTATCCATTTTGGCATCACTGTTTGAACGTTTTTAACAAGAAGTATGCACTGCACGTGCACAGGGCTTGAACTTGTGAGGGGAACAGCTGGCAGTGGCTTAGGCCTCTCCTAAACTCACAGGAACATCTTAAAAACAATGCATTTTAAAAGTGCACAGCAGTAGTCATATAAGATATCAAATCACTGGCAATCCTAAGTACTCAGTTTATTTCTGTTCATGTGTCATATGTATGTGGCTTGGTGGCAACGCACTTATTTGTAATGTGGGCCAGTCCGCAGGTCAAAGGCAGCTTTGTGTTTTTATTATGGCCTTTGGATTTTTTTTTGGTTTTTACACAGTATCTTGTTTGTAGTGTAGTAGTTAGGTCGGGAACTTTAAAAATATACTCTGGGCTGCCATGTAAGATAGCACTAGTGTGGGCTACAAGGAATCCTCAGCACGTGCTTCCTCCCAGCTCCTCAAATAGGGGGGTACAGTGCTTCTGTGTCCTTCCCCTTGTGCAAGGCATGCTTAGCTCTCCGTGAGGCTGGGGCCGATGGTGCAGCCCCACAGGTGTGTGTGCAAGGAAGCGGGGCTGTGGGATGGATGGATGGATGGATGGATGGCTGCCATCCATGGTGGGTATCTCCTGCACCGCTCCCACTGGCTGATGAAAACAGATCTTTGAAATCATTGTTCAACTTGGACCGCTTTTATGTACATTAACTGTGTTCTATGGTCACCCTATTATATAGAGATGGCAGTAGAGAAACGATCAAGTTGACAACGAGACAAATCCAGGTGATAGCTGAAAGAGCCAGAATGGGAAGAGCATTTCATTGGAAAATAGCACTCTCGTGATTCATTTTGCAGAACTTAGTCTGCCAAAGCAACTCGTAGCCAAGAGCTGGGTGACTTCAGCTTTGCCGGCGCAGTTAGCGCCCTGTTGGTGACGGGACACTGGGCGTGATGAATGCTTTCCGGTGCTTTGGGGAGAGCATCGATCCTAGCAGCTGCTGAGTCCCCGGGCAGCACACCTTCCCAGCTCAGGGCTCCTTGCGAGAGCAGGGATGGGAGCAGCAGTGCGTGGCGATACGCTGTGCTCCCATCAAACAGCACCTGTCTCCTGCTGCTGCTTGCCGTAGCTTCCTTGTGCCTGGAGCGTGCCCAGGAGTCTCCTTGTGCTGAGCCTTGCCCGCAACTTGAAGCGGTGTCACTCCAAACACTGCTTGTGAGTCTAACAGCATAGTCTTTTTTTTTCTTTCTTTTTTAATCTGCCTTCTATTATACGAATCGCATGTAGATTACTAACCTAGCCTGTGATTTGACATCCCTGGGTAGACCTGCGAAGTTAAACCGCCGGGAAAGCCCGGGCAGCGGGAACGGCCTGCGTGTGCCCGAGGACGGGACCGGGCCGTGCGAGGCAGCGGCAACGGCAGCGCGACCCGGAGCCCTCGGGGAGCTGCGGGGCAGCGGGCGGCCAGGGGGCAGCGGGACGGCCGGGAGCGGCCGGGGCTGCTTCCCGCTGGCCGAGGATCGCGTGGGGCCGCTCCTCTCCGCCAAGAGGCGGGCGGGCAGGGAATACCCTTGGCTTTTTTCTTCGCTTTGTGCTTGCCATTTCCAAGCCTTCGATTCCACCCTTCTTTCTCTCGCCCTCGTGTCCGTGTGCGTGCGGGGGCCCGGCCGACGCTCTCACGGCGGAGTTTCCCGGCCCCGCGCCCGCCGGCAGCGGATTCTTCGATGACTTTCGCGCTGCCGCTACCGCTGTTTGTTTTGCTTTGCGAAGTGCTAATCCGAGAGCTCCTTGGCAGGCGGCGGCTCTCGCTGCTTTATACGTGCCGGCCTCACGGTGGCGTTTTAAGCACGTAAACAAAGCTCGAGTGAGCGGAGAGGCAAGCGTGTTTTCTAGTTTACCTTTATTAGAATAACAGTTCCGTTAATGTTTTGGATAAATCAAAACTGCCTATTAAAGCGGTTCGAGTACAGGAGCTGCGCGATGCTCTGCGTCAGTGGAAGGTGTTTGAATCTTCCCGGCCGGCACAAAGCCGCGCTGAATTAGAGCGCTCTGTGTCAGCGTCACGGCGCGGTCTCACCTGGGGTTGTTTTCCTTCCCCTTCTCTCTCTCCTCCCCTAGCCTCCCAGGAGAAGTTTACAAAGAATGCGATTGAAAGTGCAAAGCGGCAGATACCGACGTTAAACGCTGGCTTCATTTCAGTATAACGATCTGAGACACGGCCCCGTGCCGCCGCCGCCCTCATTAATACAGAAGCATGCCCCTGGGACCCGAGTCACCCGGAGAGAATAAACACAATATAGAGTCATCTTACCTCCGAGCCGAGAGCGCACCGTTAGAGGTAGGAGAGGGAGAAGTGCGGCCCTCCTCTGGCCCGGCTCGGCCGCTCTGTCGCGGGGCTCCGGCAGCGCTGCTGCTGCCGCCCGCCCAGCTGGGATCCGCTCCCCAGCGCGCTCCCCCCGCCCCCGGCAGGCAGTCCCCAAAGTCAGCCCAGCGCGAATCCGCGAGTCAGGGGCAGCTTTTCGAGTCAATCCTCGCTGCTGCGAATCCCCAGTGGTTTCTCTCCGCCAAAGCGTGGGACAAAATTGCCGCTCAGCCTGAGTTTTTGTCAGGCGTCGTTGGCGATCTAGCAGGTAAGGCGGCTGCTGGCTGCCGGCGATTCCCGCTGCACTTGCAGAGAGCGGCAGAAGCCGGTGGGAGTGTGGTCTGCTCTTCGTTAGGGAGGGGGGAACGGACCCTGGAGGTGATGCAGTGAAACACTTCGACTTCCTCGCATTGTGTTTGTCACAGATCACGGGCGCTCCGCTTCTGTAGCATTCACTTCAAGCATTCTCAAACCCAACCGGAATAAGTTCTGATCCTCCCTTTTAGTTTACATTGGGGTTGTCAAAGGATTAAATACATGAAACTTTATTTGACCGTGGAGTTTGCAGACCCTGGGATCCCTACGCGCTCTGGCCTTATTCTAATTCTATAGCGGTAATTACCCTTCGTTTCTTTAAGTGCAATAGATTTAGTGCCTTGGAGACTATGCACAGTTTGATTGAATTATTCATTTTTTTTTCTTTGGTGTAGACTGCATCTGGGGACTGATGTGACGTGTAGATTTTTTTTTTTTTTTTTTTTTTTTTTTTTTCAGGAACAAAGGGAATGTGGAAATGAAAGAGAGAGGGAGAGAGAGGCTGGCAGATGTGATGAGATGCGGTGAAGGTGTATCCAGCTTGGCACTCCCACTCCTCTCTTCTCCTCTCATTGCAGCCCTGGGTGACTCTCAGGCTAACACAAACAGCTTTTCTTCCGCAGCCTGCCCTCTGTCACTGTAAGTACAACAGCCTTCTCTTATCAGCATGCAAATTCCAGCCACTCACTACCTTAGCCTGGTGTTTGCACTTTAGATTTACAGAGGGGACCTTTAAAATGAACTTTCCTAGGCAGGAAGGGGTTTTCATGTCAAAGTTGCTTTTATTTTTCTTTGTAAAAGTTTATGTGGTTTTCCCTTTTTCTCTCTCCCTCTCCCCCCCCCCCCCCCCCCTCCCCCTTCTTATGGAACGGGGATATGAAGTGGGGAGATTGTTGCTGCGGCTTTTTCCTTCACCGTCAGGGTGATGCACAGTTTCAAGTGAAATTAAAACCTTCTTGTTCCCGCTTCTGCCAGGACAATACATTGTGTTGGCAGATGACGCTCTAAAGAATTCAGAGGTTTTTGGTTTGTTCTTTTTTTTCAGTTAGATTCTTAGCTTAGGGCGTTACAAAATGCAAACGTCCCCTAAATTTTGAGAAGATCGCCAGAGGTACTTGTTCTATGGGAACTGGCATCAGCTGATGGTGTTGCTTATGGAGAGCACTGCACGGATATGCTTTTATCTTGTCTAACAAAACTTTCTCCCAGTCGGATGAACAGACTTTAACTTCTTTAGCTTTCTCTCAGATGCTGTTGATTATCTTGCAAAACTTTCTCCGAACATCTTTAACAAGCCTATAAAAAGTCTTCATTGTCAGAGAGTGTCAGCAGAGGGAACTTTGAAATATGCCTGTTAGTTGTCCGGCATTTACTGGGGAGAGAGGGGAGTTTAGAATGAGGCGAATGACTTTTAAGGCGGCATTTCTCGCCCTCTGAATCAAAACTTCAGAGACTATTCTACCAACTCCACAGGAGTTGTAGGTTTGCTCGTCTTAGCAAAGATGCGGTAAAACTCAACACACAGACGGGTTGCTTTGCTTGTCGAACGTTGCTTTACTTCTATGCATGTGTTTAATGAAAGAGACGGCGCAGAATGCGCTGCCAGCTGTGAGCAGGTAAGTGCCCCGACGTGAACCGACAGGCTGATTCCTTTCCTCTGCGAGGACGCAGAGCAGCCCAGCATCCCTCCCCAACATCTGCCTGCGCTGGCTGCTGTGCCCGTCTCTAGCCTTAATGAAGAAAAGCGAGAGAAGAAATGTAAAATGTGGTCTCTAAACGCGTAGTAACGCTAAAAGTAAACGCGTTTGCTTGTTTCTCTGCACGTGCGTACGGCGGATGTTCACTTATGCAAACAAAGAGGGAAGCGCAATTATTCCTGTGCAGAGCACATACACGTACATTTGCATACAATGCCCACGGAGTCCTCGTTTTCTACCGCGGAGAAGTTGTAACTGCGGCATTGTGTGCTGCATCTGTAACTTAATTGATCACACGGGGAAGCAACAAGCTAGAGAGTGTTACTCGCGCTCCGCCTGGGGACGCGGGCGCATCCCTGCGGTGCCCTGCCCCAGCCGAGTGGCAGCCCCTGCGAGGGGATTTCGGGAGCGCGGAGGGATGCTTCTCTGCTTCGGATCTGGGTGGGCGGCTAAATCGTTCTGACGCCTTCCTTATCTCTTGTCCCATCGCCGCCTCGTACTTAAGAAGTTGTGCGAAGGAGGATGCTACCTTCGAGGATGTGTTTATTAGCTTTCTTCTGTTTTCCTTTAAAGGAAAAAAAGAAAAAAAGAAAAAAAAAAAAAAAAAAAGGAGCTTCCATTAACAAATCAACAGGGTAGCGAACTCGGGCGGGATGCTTCGTCCTTATATTCTGATTGCCTCTGTCTCCTTACAGAACTCGGATTTCTTGTGCGCCGAAACTACGGGTCGTGCATAAAGTCAAGGTGTTTCCTTCACTCGCAGCAGGTTTACATGCGTTAGAAGGAAAATGCTACTAACCGGGCAGGGGGATTCTTACATTTAAAGATGAAAGAGGACGCAGCAGTATCTGGACAGGAAACTATTTCCTGTTGTTAAATCCATCCCGTAGATAACTGCAGCGAGGTGAATAGTTTGAACTAGCTGACCACAGGTGTATACAAACTCGGTATTTCCGATCTAACAAATTATTCCAGCTCTGAATTACAGGTTTTTAGGATCTTTTATTAAAATTAGAAGAATATGTGGAAATTAGCTGCTATGCTCTCAGCCAGCTAATTTATGATGATGCTTTACTAGATGAATTTCAAGTTGTTTCAACGTGCTTGTTGCTTGCCGAGTAAGACTCGATCGCTCCTTTTATTGTAGTGAAATAGTCAACAAATCCCTTATTAGACAGGTCTGCTGTTCTGAGAGGTTCTGACTTCCAACTCTTCTTTCCAGGGCTGGACCAGAGAGGGACAACAGCACCTCGGATAGCAGGGTGGGGGCTGCGATGGGCACTGCTCTCGCAGGGCTTAGAGCCTCGCATCTTAGCAAAATGAAATAGGGCCATGTCAGGTGTGCCATCAGAGTAATGCCCAATTTTCATCACGTCCTTATGAGGCAGGGTTCATTTGCAGGAGGGCTTCTGCTTCTATGCTAGCCTGCAGATTTCAGCTTGTGAGAGCAGGGAAGTGAAATCAGGCTTTCTCCTCGTCTTTTTGGCCTCTATAAGTTATGAAGCTATTTTAAAATTTAAAAGTTTCTCTGTTACTAACTGTTCCAGGCGCCTTCTGGAAAATGGGGAGAAAGTGCCAAAAATACAGAGATGAATCAACAACTTCTCTCTCTCTCATTTTGTGGGCTTGAGGTTGCTTTCCGCACTCCCATCCTAACAACAGTTTATCCTATAGGTGTGAATAATATCAAAAGAGGCAGACGTTAGCTCTGCAGAGCTGCTTGCCCACCTGATCTGCGGGCCCCTGACAGTTTGAAAGTCTCTTTTATGTTTACCTTTGGAATGTAAAAATGCGGGAGAGAGACTTTCTAGGCTCCGCAGCACACCGTGCCTCTGGCTGACTCTCCCTCATCTCCTCGGAGTTTTCCCCTTCCCGCTCCCGGATTTTCTCCCAGTTGGCACTCTCGAGGGAGCGTGAGTTCCTAAATCGGTACACGAGTCCCTGGCCGTTGCTTTTTAGCAGGGACATCTTCGTATATCGCCGCTGCCGGGAGCTCTCGGCATCACGGCGGGAGTCCGTCCGAAGTCAGCGTTCCCCGGCCCCTACCTGCCCGCCCCCATCAGTCGCGCTCACGTTCGTGCCTTCCTCTGAGCGCTCCGCGGAGCGGTCTGTGGGCTCCGAGCTCCTTCCGCCTCCCCTCCTCCGGGCTCCCGCAGCCCGACTCCCACCTCCCGCTGTAGTCATTTCTACTTCTGGTTTCGCTCGCTTTTTACTCCGGCCGGGCTGCGGGATCGGGCTCCTCAGAGCACCATCTATCTATCAGCTGTCATCGGGCTCTCGCGGAGCGCTTCCCCTGCGCGTCCCCGCTTCCCCGCCGGCCCGGCCCGCGTCCCGCAGACCGTCTCCCCCTTCTCCCCCTTCCCCTTCTGCTCTTTATTTTCACCCTCCCGGGCGGCGGCCGAACGCTGCCGCTCGGCGTGTGCCGGGCAGCGGCGCGCGGGCGGGGAGAGCCGGGGTCCCCCTGCGCTCCCCCCGCGCAGCCCGCAGCTCCCCCGGCCCCCGCCTCCCCCTCTTCCGGCCCTCACCCGCCCTCCCCCTGCCCGCCCTCGCCCCCCCTCCCGGTAACTTTCTGGTACCTTTCCTCACCACTCCGGGCAATCAGTGGTCATTAGAGGAGAGAGGTTTAAGGTTTCATTTGTCTAATAGCAATGTGAGTGGTGATAGCTTCTCGGGGATGCGGCTGGCAGCCCGGGGTGATTTCACTTTCTGTTTTGTGCTCACTTTCTCTGCAGTTGTTGCTTTCCCCGCTCGCTCGCTCCCAGGCTCCCTCTCCCTCTCAGCCTTTCCTCTCCCTCTCTCTCTCTGTGTTGTCTCATCTTGCCTGTGCTGTCTGGGCGGGGGAGCCCTGCCTCCTTCTGCCTTCCTCAGATCAATGCCCTGGCCACTCACTTTCTGATGTTGCACGACGGGAAATGCTTTGAATACTTACGACATGGCCGCTCACATTGATTGCCAAGATTGACAGCAGTAACCATCGCCTTCACTTGTTTCAGGAGGGAAAAAAAAATAATAATAATGAACCTGATTGTAAGCAAATCTCCAGGCAACCCATCCGCAAACTTCTAACGATCGGGATCCTGCACATCCATGGCCCGGAGAAACACCAGCAGACTCTAGCTCATTTCTTTTCTTTTCTTTTCTTTTACTTTCTTTTATTTTACCAAATTACTACCCGTTTATTTCCCTCTCTCCCCTTTCACCCCTTCCCTCTTCTTTTCTTTTCTTTTCAATTTTTTTTTTTTTTAATGAAAATTACCGAAGCGCGTTGCAAAAAAAAAAGGAGGCTCTCCCAGTGCTTTGTGCCACACTGGATCCCGAGGAGGTAACCAGGAAAAAACAAGCCCTATTGTGTTGTATACCTGTTGTTTGCTGTGGTGTGTAGTGCTGCGTTGCTTGGTGGCGGCGGTGGTGGTTTAATGGGTTTTCGCTGGATTTATGTCGCTTTGCAGGAGAGAATCCGGTTCCCCCTGCGCTGTCTTTAATGGGTTGTTAGTTGCAATTGAGTGAAGGAGCAGCGTCCGGAGGTAGCTGTGTTGTTTAGCTTTTAACGTTGCTGAATGCACCCCTTCCCCCGCCTCCCCCTGCACGATTATTTACTTTGATACCACGAGGTTGGTGTTTTTTTCCTTAGCAAAAACTAGTTGTAGCCTCGTCCCCGGGCGAGTTTCCGGGGCTGCGCGAATCCCGAGGCTCAGAGATAGCGAGGGACCTCAGCACCCCCAAATCACAACACTTTCTCATCCTCCTCGAGTAGAGTTTATTTTAAAATGTAGTGACAGATCAGCGCTGTATTTTAAGCTCCCCTACGGCAGGCGAACACATGGTGCCGGGAAGAGATCGTACGCAAGGAACTAACACGAGAGGGAGAAAGAGAGAGAGGGAGAGGGGAAAAATAAAATCCGAAATCAATCTTGGAGAGCGGAGCGCTGCTGTCACCGCTCCGGAGCGTTCGCGTGGGTTTCTGCTCGCGGCTAACCCCGGAGGGCACGGCATGGAGCGAGGCGACGGGAGTTCAGGGGGGCTTTTAGATTCTCCTTTAAGTTTGAGGTGGGTGAGCGCTTTGAAGTTGGCCGCAACCGAGCGCCGTCCCCGGAGCGGGGAGCCATACAAAGCTGCGGGAGCTGCGGGCGGCAGTGCCGGCCTCGGCCACGGCGGGGCACTGTCCCGGGGCTCTGCGGCTCCCAGCGCCGCCTTATCTCCGCGAGCAGAGGGCTCGGATAAAGTTCTAGCGAAAACTTTAACGTCGATATCGTGCCCTAATTTGTGATACGCGAGGAGAGGGGAAAAGAGCACTCCATCATCGGAGAGCTCCGTTCGCGCCCGGCGAGGGGGCGATGCGTGCCGCTTTGTGGCAACGCCCGGCTCGGGAGTTCTCGCTGCCGGAGGTCATGCAAATCGACCTTAAAAGAATGCATAAGCCATAAATTAAAATAAACCCCTAGCCAGAGGCTGATCCATAAGTAGACAATACCTAACCTGGACAAAACGGCTTCCTTTGCGAGCTGAAAAAAAGACTAGTGCCTAAAGTAAATGCGAAGTAAGTTTTCAGGAAGTATTTCACTTGTTATTATCGCTGTTCTTATTCTGCCTTTAAAATAAAATAGTGACAGTTGCGCGGCGCAGCTGTTTACAGGCAGTGCCGTAGGAGCTGAGGAAGGCAAGGTGTGTCTGGCGGAGAGCTCGTGCTTTTCCCTGGCGTTCGCTACCTTCGAAGCTGTTTGGATTTTTGACTGGGGATAAGCGGCCTCTTTAACCGTATAAGCAATTGAATGTTTTATCTCGAATAATGCCGAAGAGTTTACGGACAAATCTGGGTTGCCTGCAAATGTCACATGCGCGCACACAAGCTGTGTCTGTATATAATAGTCTCAGGGCTTGTTTTTTTTTCCCGCAGTTTTTGACAATTGTTCCATTCACGATCCTGAAAGGAGTCATCAGTGGGAGCTAATGAGAGTGCCTCCGCGCCTTGCCCTGCTCCGGGGAGGAGCGGGCACCGCGCTGCCGCCGAGCCGCCCGGGGAACGCGTGCACGCGTGTGGCGGCGCCAGGTCGCCCTTGCGGGAGCGCGGCTCTTAGGTGCGGGAGGGGGAACGGATAGGCGCGATGTGATCAGGTACCTACACGCGTGCGTTAATAATTGAGCTGCCGGGGAGCTGCTCCTCCGCCGGGAGAGCTTCCCGGCTCCGGTTCCCGGCTGTGCTCGACAGCGGCGAGCAGTTAACCCGCTTTGCAGCAGGGGCTGTGCGCTTTAGCAGAGCAGGGCCTTGAGGTCAATCAGAGGCACTGATCGTATCGATTTGATTGCTGTCGTTGCTTTCGGCGGACCGTTTCACAGCGGTTTTTGTGTGTGGGTTGTTTTTTTTTTTTTTTTTCTTTTTCTTTTTTGAAGGAAGGGAAGGAGTGAAAGTGGCAACGTGAAGAGACAATTAGTGTTGTGTCTGCGTGGCGGGGGGGCTGCGGGAAGTCAGCGTGCCGGGGGCCTGGGGACGCTAGATTAGCTCTGTCCTAGGGGTGTTTCCCAAAAACACAGACGGTAAAACTTTCTGTGATAAAGTCATATATCTTCGCCTGCTGTTTGGAGATAAGGTGTGTGTTTATTAAGCTGATTTAAATAGCCTTCGGCACAGGAGCGGCACTTTGTTCCTACTGTTTTCTTTTACCCTCATTTTAACATTTTTGGTGTTCCCATCTTCAGAGCCGGCCGTGAGGGCAGGAGAACGTCTTTATGCGGTCTCCCAGCAGGGTTTCGAGTCCAAAAATTAACGAATTTCCCTTCCCCTATTCGTGTAATGGAGTAGTTTTGAAACCTGTTTTGAGATTTCGACTTGACTTGACTTGTTTTATTGACGTGCTTGTGCCCACTCATTTAATTAAGCCATTATGCCATAAAGCAAATAGTAAGAATGAATGTGAGATATGTGTGCATATCTGCCATTAGGTACAAATATTCCTCTGGAAAAGAGGTTTTAAGAACTTTTCCAGCACACCGTGAGTTCTTTGGCAATATCTTATTGCAGGTTTTTGTTTCAAGCTCGGATATTTCGCGTGGTCCTGTCCTCGCAGTGTTGTATGTGCACTCCACTTGGAATATAAACAGCGAGCGTACCTAGCAGCTCATTCTAGTAAACCTAAGAAATAATCTATTTATAGTGAGTTTAAAAGAAAATAATGAGGTCATGCGGAGTATGCTGCAGTTTGAAGTAGCTCGACACCTGGCAGAAACTACGTACGCCTTTTTTTCAGACTCCGCACTATCCATAACTTTTTCTTATAATACATTCTTGTGTTAAGTGAGAAAGGCTGTTTGTAAAACAATCCCCTGGCCGCTTCCAGCGTTGGGTGAAGCTGATCCTGTAATGGCATTTTGTTTTGAACAGTTGCTGTAGTTGAAGTTCCCTCATAAGGTAAGGTGGCACTGGGTCTGAAAGGAGGTCCAAATGCCACATTTATAATTAGACTGCCAATTCAGCACATTGTATCTATTGCTATACAGGGATATACTGCTGTGTCTGGTCTCTCAATAGACTGTATTCAGAATTAGCCAATTCAACCGCTTCAACTTTGGAGTCAAATTTAGAATAGGCAATGAGAGAAGGAAAGAAGGAAAACAATAATGCTTTCTTTTTTTCCTCAGCTAGCTATTAAAAGCCAAAGAATATACGGAAACCGAACCAGGCACTGTACTTGGAACCGGTGCCCCGAGCGCAGCCCGGCCAGCATCGCCTGCGAGCCCAGCCGAAGCGCGCTCCTCCGGGGGGAGGGGAAAGTGAGCCCCGGGCACGGCTCCCAGCGCTCTCCAGGCCGCTGCCCGGGCCGCCACCACGCTCCTGCGGCAGGAGGAGGGGGGGAGGCGGAGGGACGCAGCCCTGCCCCGGCCGCGCTGCGAGGCCTGGCCGAGTGCCTGCTGCCGCCGGCTGGAGCGGTGGGAGGGGGCCCGGCGGCCCCTGCTCCGGGGCGACCCGCGCGGGCCGCCGGTGGCAGCGCCCTCCCGGGGGCCGCGGCGGCTGTGGCGGGGGCGGCTTCCTCACGCCTTCCGGGGCCGCCGGGCCGGGGGCTTCTGTCCGCTGTGTCCTCGTGGCTTCCAGCGCCCGGCCTCTTCTCTCCTGGCGTACTTTTTCTTTCGCTCACTCTGATTTCTCAGGCCTCCTCCCCCAGAACTTGAATTCATTCAGTGATGAGAAAGTAAGAGGCCCTTTGCTCTGCAATCTCGCATCCTCTGCTAAATGCATTATTGCCTCTCTTCTTTGCAGTTCCACTCTGCTGCAGTACTGCTGAGAGACTTAGCTGGGCTGCCTCGAAGCTCGCTTGGTTCCCTATTCAGCTGTATCGTTGGGTGCAAACTAGTGGCATGCATACAACGCACAGTGCAAAGGGAGTCAGACAGACGGCTGTCTCCCCTGCACGCTACTGATTCTCTGCTGAACTTATGTAACATTTTGCTTCAGTTTTTTCTTGTTACGTTTACACCCTAACGAAAGCGAGAAGAGAAACCAAGTGGAGCCTTTGGTTTCCTTCGTTAGATTGTTAGTGCCTGACTTGTAGAAAGGAATAACTGGCGTCCGAAGTGATCTGCCTGTCACATTGATTTTATTGACAACTGGGGACTGCTGTTGCTTGTTCCCTAGCCAGCAGTTTTTAGTACATGACCAGTGATTGCTAGTGGTCACTTCCAGCTGAACTTCTTTTGCATGGTGGGGAAAGATGCCTTTGGACATGTTCTTTGCATCTTTGATCGTATTTTTAGTTGAATGTTTGCGTGTACATCTGCTGTTCTTAGAGGCCTCGAGATATCCTATGGTAATAAAGGGCAGCTCTATGCATGATGATAGCAAAACCAAATATTTTGTTCTC